ATTTTATGTTTCAAATTTTTATGCTGCCCATCTCCCCCAATGGGTGACTCTGGGCGGCTCACAATAATAATAAAAAACAAAGGACTCTCCAGACATAGACAAAATCTATAAATAGTTAAAAACATATATAAAAATGGCGTAAAAACCTCCTATAATTTGGCCCTAAAAAACCTGTAAGATGTAAACCTATTTAAGACTAATCATAGTTTCTTGGGTTTAGATGAAATTATTAACTTGGTGTAATCAAAAATTGAAGTAAAATCATTGGGTTATAGGCAAGAGTAGGAAGCACAAAAGTGTAAGTCTCAATATGGCTTATTCTGATCGCAATAAGTCATCATGCTTCAGCAGTTCTCAAATTGTGACTTGGGACCCCCACAAGGGGTTGGCAAGCAACTTGGAGATCCCAATTTTAAAAAACATTAGGATCTAAGTTGAACTCAGACGTTTTGAGTACTACTAATCCTGATCAAATAATTTTAGGGAGAGTTATAGTATTTCATTTATCATTTCAAAGGGTCACTGTTACTGCAAAGTTTGAGAACCACTGCCATAATTCATTCTGATGTCCAAATCCAACCATTGTATTTTGGTTTCTTATCTATAGTAATATTTTAATTTTAATTTTAATTTTGCAATATATTATAACAACATTAATCTCAATCTCAAACTAGAAATACAGATAGTCCCCAGTTTAAGAATGAGTTCCATTCCCAAGGTCTATCCTTGTCAAATTTGTATGTAAACCAGAATAGTATTATTGTATAATACTGTATAAATAGTTTTGTGTAACAAACTCAAACCACTGTGTATTTAACTCGAATCACTGTGTATTTAACTTGAATTTTGCTACAGTAGGCTCTGTTCTTAACTATGGGTTGTCCTTAAACTGGACGTTCTTAACTCATGGACTACCTATAATAAAGTGGAAAAGACAAATGCCTACACCAAAATTATAGTTGTAATTTGTAACTGGTTTAGAAGGTTACTTTTAGCAGAATGTTGAGTCCACTCAGATTGCATATATGAACCAATACTAAGGGAATATAAGTGTATATAACACCACTTTGAAATTACTCTGAATAATCTGCTCTTTAATAATTGGTTGATGTTGGTTTGATAATTTTGTTTTTGATATCTTTAACTGTAATGCACAAAAATACAAATAAATTAATGTTACAGTTTGGGATAGAATTTTATTTTTTTAAATATTCTCAAAACAATCTTTCCTCTTTTATTTTCATTTTCCAGCTGAGTATACAAGTTGTTTTTGAGATCACAACTTTTTTTTTTTTTTTTGGTATTCTCAGTGCATGAAATTGTGGTCTACATTTTATTTATTAATTAGATGTATATTCCACTTTTCTCCAGAAATCAAAACCATGTACATAACAATACACAGTATTATGAAAATGTATTAATTGTATGAAGTAACACTGCTTATTCCTTCTAGTATTTACATGCCAATGGAATTGTTCACCGAGACTTGAAACCAGAAAATTTATTGTATGCAACACCAGCTCCTGATGCACCATTAAAAATAGGTAATTGATAATTGATATCTTCTAGTGGCAGCTTTAGCAACTTGATGCCATAGGGTACTATGGGATCCTGAAATCAGCAAACATTAGCAGACATAACCAAAGCAATATTTAGGGGGCACAATAAAATAAGCTAGATGCCATTGCAATAGCAGATAAGTTGCACAAAGCAAATTGGTAGAAGGAAAGGGAATAAGTGATAAAGAGCACAGGCAATACATGAGTTAGAAACAAGCTCTCTTTGTTCATATTGCAGTCTTATACAATTCCCAGAGAAAGAAGCAAGTTAGAAATAACTATGCATGATGAAGGACAAAGCTGCTCTTAGCCTAAATCAACCATTGTTTGTTCCTAATTAGGTGCGGGAAGATGATGTACGTAAGCAGCTTGATAAGGGAGCTTGTTTGTATGACAATTTTGTCTTTAAGAGAACACCCTGTGATCACAGATCAATAAAACTTTAAAGCACCCTTCAGCTGTAGGTTTATTGCATTTAACAAGGGGAAAGTTTTCCTATAGTATCTGCCCCATTCATTTCAGCACTGAAAAATATGTTAATTCCTTCTCTCATATTTTCATTCTGTTCCCATTATGCGGACAGCATTCCAGAGCACTGAGCATAGCAAAAGTGTGGTTCAGGGACTTCTGCATGCATCAATGATTCCTGGCTATTTAGAAAATAATTATTCTCATCCCCTCTAGATTTATGTTCTTTTGTACAATAACATTTTTGTGCTTCATATGCCCTTTTCCCCCTGCATTTCAGCGCATGCTATTTTACAGATAGACACCGGAACGTTATTCAAATATTATGCTTGTGTGTTTAAAAGACATGCAATTGGGAAGAAAAAGGACAAGTATACAACCAGTTTTTATTATTCTGCCACATTAAGCTGAAGGTCATCTGATGTTCGAAGCCTTTTCCATCTATATAGGCTTCCTACCTGATTTAGAAGGGGACGTGGTGGCACAGCGGCTTAATGATGCTGGAAGTTGCCGGCCAGAAATGGTTGACACTTCGGCGGTTTGAGCCCAAGCTCCACGTGGTGGAGTGAGCTCCCATCTTGCGCCCTCAGTTCCTGCCCACCTAGCAGCTCGAAAGCATAGGCAAGTAGATAAATAGGCACTCTCACCCCGGTGGGAGGAAAAATGCTGGCGGTGCCTTGCACGGGAAAACGGGAATCAATTGCCAGTTGCTGGACGCAACACAACAGAAGAGACTCGATTTGCTGCAACCGCCAACTGGGCTCCGCCCTAGGAAGAAGGGCAAACCACTGCCGAAAAAACCTTGCCAGGAAAACTGCAGGGACTCATCCAGGCAGTCTCTGTAGAATTGGTCACGATTGAAAGCAGATTAAAAACAACAACCCTGATTTAGAACATTGATTTGCTCCATCTAATTCAACAATTATTTCATAAGAAATATAATTTTCTGATTTCTGCATAACAGCTGATTTTGGACTTTCCAAGATAGTTGCAGATCATGTTACCATGAAAACAGTCTGTGGAACACCAGGATATTGTGGTATGTTTCTGTATTTACCTTATATTAGATCTCTTTTTGTTTGTATTCTGTTGTTTCAACTCTCTAAAATTCCTAAGTTTAGCAACTATCATACTGAGATCCAAAATGGCAAAAAAACAAAAACAAAAAACCCCAGTTCACATTAAAATATCTTGGGCTATATTATACTCACTTGTTCAAAGTATCATTTGTCAGCTCAAGCAATATACTAACTATAACCTTACATGAAAAGAGAGAGAATAACTGTCCCAAAGCTCATGCTTGCTTAAATAGAAGACCATCCCAGATGGAAGTATTCAGTTCTTTGGTTAAACATAACATTTTGTAATACAGTAAAACCTCAATTTCACAGATTCCAATTTAGTGCACTTAAGATGCAACATTCAACATTTTAGATCAGATTCACCCTTAACAATGGACAAAGCAATCTGGAAAATTGATGTACTTTATTCCATTTGCATGATATAATTCACATTTTATGTATTTTGCATAAATTTACATCATTTATATAACATTCATATATTCATGTAAATAACATATGAGGCTAATATAGCTTCCTGGCTATCTGGCAAAACCCAGACATTCCTAAAATACATACATTCTCTCAGGCGGACTGCAGGCTTAGAATCACCATCTTCTCGTAGGACAGAAGTTTATCATGTTGAGACAGATTCTACCCACCCCTCTTTCTCTAGGACATACATTTCCTTTTAAAATGTCTCAGAAGTTGCTTGGTGGAGGGTGAAAAACAAGTGGAGTGTACCATCTCCACAAACAGCCTCTGATACACAGCTGGAATCTTCAGGAATCTGTGAAAAAGTCCAAGTAACTTGAAAAGCTGTGTACAAGGAGCACCCACTGATTAATTTGAAGGGAAAAATATGCCCTCTGAATGAAGCCTGTTTTTTTCCCTGTAATATCCAAATAATTGCAGTATTCATTATAAAACCATAATGCAAAAAAGATACGGTTAAAAGTTTGAGCAAGTTTCTTGAGGAAAAAAAAAGAATCTCTTGAGCAAATATATTTTGAATATACTGGGAAATCCCATGTGAAGATCAGAAATAGGTCATTAAATAGAAAATTATGCCCATCTTAATCATAATCAAATTGGTCAGCATCCTCAAAAGTATCTCCCATAGTAACTTATGATTAGTCTTTGTTGTTTTAATTTTAGAACTGTTGTGTCAAAGTATCACTGCAAAATGTTTTTCTTGCAGCTTAGTTGCCAAGCACATTTGAGAGCATTTAACTAGTCCTAAAGATTACTTACATTTCAGTACAGAAGTATGCACACTCTTGCATTCTTAAGTTCTACTTTACTTAATTACATTTGTAATTTTTGTCATGTTCAATTTGTAAAATTAAGCTTTTTTTCTTCATGAGTTAAGACCAAACATGTTGATGGCTATTCTCCTTCATTATTGTTTATTTCCACATTTAACTTTTGTTTTACTGACAAGGTTTTTATCATCTGCAGCACCAGAAATTCTGCGAGGGTGTGCTTATGGCTCAGAAGTAGACATGTGGTCCATAGGAATAATCACCTATATCCTGTAAGTTAAGATGACATAACTATAAAACAAGTGATTATTTCATAATTTATTTTTGAATAATCAGTGTTTATTAACTGTGTCAACAAGAACTAAATCAATAATTTGCTTTGTTCTGTTTGTAATGATTTAAAGAACGAAGGTCCAGCAATTATTCAAGAACAAAAATCAGATTTGAAAATATTAAAAGTCTTGGGGCATTGTTTTCCTTTATGGTAGCTTGTAGTCTCATCTGAGACAATTATTTTCCTTAAACTGAGAGTTGTAAATGAGTTCAGATTTAAATCTAGGTTGCAGTCCAGGATACACCACATCTGCTTCTTAAGAACTTTTCATAAAGATGTTACCCCCCCCCCACTTCCCCAAAATGGATCTAGGAAAGAGACAGGAAAATTCAAATTAGATGGATGTTTACCTGGAGTGTAACAGTGTGAAACAATGTGAAAACAGCCCCAAGATGGAGAATGTGGGCTGAGTGCAGAGTCATTGTTACGTAATGTTGATATGAAATTATCCCACAGCCAAGCTTTGAAAACATAAAGGACACACTCCCCAATGTTTCTCTTTCTAAAAATTTCCTTGCTTCTTCTATACCTTGCTTCTTCCTTTAAAAATGACCATTGGTTGTCTTTTTTGGGATGAACTGAGGGGAAGAGGGCCATCCTCCTTGGCTCAGTTGAGCAGAGGAGATGTAGAGTAAGTTTTTAGAACAATTCTGGTGTGTGCAGAGGAATGCTATAAGTAAGCATCTTGTGATATGGGCATCCTAGGAGTCAGCCTTCTTTCTCATGAGCCTTCCCATGCAGGAGGGTCTCCTCAAGCTCTTCTTCAAGACCTACATCCATCAGCATGCAGCAGATTACTGAGCAAGAAAAAGACCTTTTTGAGAATGACAGTTCTGAGTTGAAATATTTTTCCTTTTTTTCTGGAAAATTTTCCTGGCCCAAAGCCTAATGTTTTGTTTTGTATTTTTTTTCCAGTTGTCTTTATTTATTTATTTTTATCTTTTTGTTTATTTGTTTTGTCTTTTATTTCTAACTTCCCCTAGCTTATATATGCCATTCTGCTCAATATATTTCATTGTTTTGATTGTTAATTTTATTGTTTTTAATCTATCCTGGAAAGTATTTCCTTTTTAAATTTGAAGAAGTGGGATTTTAATTTACATAAATTAATTAAGCTAGAATGAATGAATGAACACACACACACACACACACACACACCCCTTCCAGCTTAATTAATATATTTATATATATACCTTTTTCTATGTCATATGTATGTATGTATGTACTGTATGTATATGGCAGAGAAAAGAAAGAGGAAGTAACAACAGGTTCTGAGAAGTGCAAGAATAAGAACTGCCACTTAAAATAAGTTTAGCTCTAAATTACAGGAAACCAGCAAATATGTGGCATAACTATTAATGTGTTTTACCTATTTATGAAATTCATTCATTCATTCATTCATTCATTCATTCATTCATTCATTCATTCATGATATATAGCCGCCCATCCCACACAAGGTGACTCTGGGTGGCGTACAACAATGAAAAAAATAAATAAATAAAACAGCTACATATAAAAAACAGTAAAAATACACAAAACAGGAGGGGACAAAATTAATAAGGGAGCCATCGTAAAATCTTCCCAGTCCCCTGGGAACCCCAGGCCTGATCACATAGCCAGGTCTTGAGGGACTTACGGAATCTTAAGAGGGATGGAGCTAATTGCACTTCCGAGGGGAGAAGATTCCACAAGGCGGGCACCACAGCAGAGAAGGCCCACCTCCTGGGACCCGGCAAATGTAATTCTCTAGCAGATGGGATCCGCAGCATGCCTACTCTGCCAGATCTGATGGGACAGATAAATGTAATCGGGGAGAGGTGGTCCCTCAGGTAACCCCACCCCATGCCATGAAGGGCTTCAAAAGTCAAAACCAGCACCTTGAATTGGACCCAGAAGCAAACTGGCAGCCAGTGCAGCTTGTGAAGTAGAGGTGTAACATGTACCACCCAAGGGGCGCAGACAACTGCCTGTGCCACTGCATTTTGCACCAGTTGAAGCTTCCGGATACTCCTCAAGGGCAGCCCCATATAGAGTGCTTTATAGAAATCCAAATGGGAAGTGACCAGGGCATGAGTGACAGTGATTAGGTCCCCCTGATCTAGGAATGGGCACAACTGCTGCACAACACAAAGCTGTGCAAAGACCCTCCTAGCCACAACTGCCACCTGTTCTTCTACAAGGAGTCGTGAGTCCAGGAGGACCCCCAGATTGAGCACAAGGTCTGTCTGGGGCAGTGCAACCCCACTCAGTACCAAAGATGGCATAACTCTAGCACCAGAAGGTCCCAGAGCCCACAGCCACTCAGTCTTGCCAGGGTTCAGTTGAAGCCTGTTGTTCCCCATCCAGACCCTCACAGCCTCCAGGCACCAGGATACGACATCGCTTAATTTGCCAGGGGCAGAGATGTATAATTGGGCATCATCAGCATACTGATAGGCTGCTCCTTGCTGAGCAGAAAATTTTGGGCTGACATCCTAAACTTAGGTATTTTTTATCTAAATTCCTCTTAAAATAATTATAATAATTTACTATTC